CCCCCCCCCTCTCATCTCTCTACTCACCCCCCTCTCATCTCTCTCTCACCCCCTCTCATCTCACCCCCCCCCCCCTCTCATCTCTCTCTCACCCCCCGCTCATCTCTCTCTCACCCCCCCTCTCATCTCTCTCACCCCCCCCCTCTCATCTCTCTCTCACCCCCCGCTCATCTCTCTCACCCCCCGCTCATCTCACCCCCTCTCATCTCTCTCTCACCCTCCCTCTCATCTCTCACCCTCCCTCTCATCTCTCACCCTCCCTCTCATCTCTCTCACCCCTCTCATCTCTCTCTCACCCTCCCTCTCATCTCTCTCTCACCCCCCGCTCATCTCACCCCCCCCCCTCTCATCTCTCTCTCTCACCCTCCCTCATCTCTCTCTCTCTCTCTCACCCCCCTCTCATTTCTCTCTCACCCCTCTCATCTCTCTCTCTCACCCTCCCTCATCTCTCTCTCTCACCCTCCCTCTCATCTCTCTCTCTCACCCTCCCTCTCATCTCTCTCTCACCCTCCCTCTCATCTCTCTCTCACCCCCCCTCTCATCTCTCTCATCCCCCCTCTCATCTCTCTCTCTCATCCCCCCTCTCATCTCTCTCTCATCCCCCCTCTCATCTCTCCCTCTCATCCTCCCTCTCATCCCCCCTCTCATCTCTCTCTCTCATCCCCCCTCTCATCCCCCCTCTCATCTCTCTCTCTCTCTCATCCCCCCTCTCATCTCTCCCTCTCATCCTCCCTCTCATCCCCCCTCTCATCTCTCTCTCTCATCCCCCCTCTCATCCCCCCTCTCATCTCTCTCTCATCCCCCCTCTCATCTCTCTCATCCCCCCTCTCATCTCTCTCTCTCTCATCCCCCCTCTCATCTCTCTCTCATCCCCCCTCTCATCTCTCCCTCTCATCCTCCCTCTCATCCCCCCCTCTCATCTCTCTCTCTCATCCCCCCTCTCATCCCCCCTCTCATCTCTCTCTCTCTCTCATCCCCCCTCTCATCTCTCCCTCTCATCCTCCCTCTCATCCCCCCTCTCATCTCTCTCTCTCATCCCCCCTCTCATCCCCCCTCTCATCTCTCTCTCATCCCCCCTCTCATCTCTCTCATCCCCCCTCTCATCTCTCTCTCTCTCATCCCCCCTCTCATCTCTCTCATCCCCCCTCTCATCTCTCTCTCTCTCATCCCCCCTCTCATCTCTCTCTCATCCCCCCTCTCATCTCTCCCTCTCATCCTCCCTCTCATCCCCCCTCTCATCTCTCTCTCTCATCCCCCCTCTCATCCCCCCTCTCATCTCTCTCTCATCCCCCTCTCATCTCTCTCATCCCCCCTCTCATCTCTCTCTCTCTCATCCCCCCTCTCATCTCTCCCTCTCATCCCCCTCTCATCCCCCCTCTCATCTCTCTCTCTCATCCCCCCTCTCATCCCCCTCTCATCTCTCTCTCTCTCTCATCCCCCCTCTCATCTCTCCCTCTCATCCTCCCTCTCATCCCCCCTCTCATCTCTCTCTCTCTCATCCCCCTCTCATCTCTCTCCTCTCTCATCTCTCTCTCTCATCTCTCTCTCTCACCCCCTCCCCGCTCATCTCTCTCTCACCCCCTCCCCTCTCATCTCTCTCTCTCATCCCCCCTCTCATCTCTCTCACCCCCCTCTCATCTCTCTCTCATCTCTCTCACCCCCTCCCCTCTCATCTCTCTCACCCCCCCTCTCATCTCTCTCTCACCCCCCTCTCATCTCTCTCTCACCCCCCCCCTCTCATCTCTCTCTCACCCCCCTCTCATCTCTCTCTCACCCCCCTCTCATCTCTCTCTCACCCCCTCCCCTCTCATCTCTCTCTCACCCCTCTCATCTCTCTCTCACCCCCCTCTCATCTCTCTCTCACCCCCCTCTCATCTCACCCCCCCCCCTCTCATCTCTCTCTCTCTCACCCCCTCCCCTCTCATCTCTCTCACCCCCTCCCCTCTCATCTCTCACCCCCCCCTCTCATCTCTCTCATCTCTCAGCCCCTCTCTCATCTCGTACTTAAAAAAAATGTTACGATCAGAGGAAACAATAAGATGCTCGGTGTAGTTTTTGTTTTTAATGCTTTGCTTCATGTTTAATGAAAGATTTAACAAAAGATTTTTCACGCTCTGCTGTCCTTAACCCCTCTCTCACCCCCTCTCTCTCACCCCCTCTCTCTCTACCCTTTCTCTCTCTCTACCCCCTCTCTCCCTACTCTATGTCGATGTTCCCCCTGTTTTCTATGTGTATATTTAGAATTTTAACTACGACAAGTTCTGCAACTGCACCCAGCCCTCCTCGCAGTGCTACGGCCTCTGACGGTAGCTGAGATCTGCATGCAGAGAGCTCTCTACCGTCTGCTGCCACCGAGAGCACACGGACCTCCTGTCTCACCCACCCCCCCTCTCTCAACTCTCTCTCTCTCTCTCTCTCTCCTCTCATCTCTCTCTCTCATGTCTCACCCCCCCTCTCTCTCACTCATCTCTCTCTCACCCCGCCTCTCTCTCATCTCTCTCTCTCACCTCTCATCTCTCTCTCACCTCTCATCTCTCTCTCACCTCTCATCTCTCTCTCACCTCTCATCTCTCTCTCTCATGTCTCACCCCTCTCTCTCATGTCTCACCCCTCTCTCTCATGTCTCACCCCTCTCTCTCTCTCTCACTCCCTCTCTCTCTCTACCCCCTCTCTCTCTCTACCCCCTCTCTCTCTCTACCCCCTCTCTCTCTCTACCCCCTCTCTCTCTCTACCCCCTCTCTCTCTACCCCCTCTCTCTCTACCCCCTCTCTCTCTACTCCCCCGTCTCTCTCTACCCCCTCTCTCTCTCTACCCCCCTCTCTCTCTCTCCCCCTTTCTCACCCCCTCTCTCACCCTCTCTCTCTCTACCCCCCTCTCTCTCTCTACCCCCTCTCTCTCTACCCCACCTCTCTCACCCCCTCTCTCTACCCCCTCTCTCTACCCCCTCTCTCTCTACCCTCTCTCTCTCTCTACCCCCTCTCTCTCTACCCCCCCCTCTCTCACCCCCTCTCTCTCTCTACCCCCCCTCTCTCTACCCCCTCCCTCTACCCCCTCTCTCTCTACCCTCTCTCTCTCTACCCCCTCTCTCTCTACCCCCCCTCTCTCACCCCCTCTACCCCCTCTCTCTCTACCCTCTCTCTCTCTCTCTACCCCCTCTCTCTCTCTACCCCCCCTCTCTCTACCCCCTCTCTCTCTCTACCCCCTCTCTTCCTACTCCATGTCTCTCTCGCTCTCTGGTTTTATCTCTCACCCTCTCTTTCCCCCCCTCTCTCTCTCTCTCACCCCCTCTCCCGACCTCACTCCCCACCTCACCATCTCTCTCTCTCACCCCGTGTCTCTCTTCACCATTATCCCCCTCCTCACCATTCTCCGCATCTCAATATCACGCCCTCTCTCTCTCTCTCTCCCCTCTCTCCAATTTCCTCCCCCATCCTCTCTCCCTCTCCATTGTATCATTAATTATCCCCCCACCCCCACCGCTCCCCCACCTCTGTCTGCGCTCTCTCATCCATCATCTCCTCCCCCTCTCTCCCTTGTCTCTCTTCCTTGTCTCTCTCTTGTCTCTCTCTCCCTTGTCTCTCTCTTGTCTCTCTTCCTTGTCTCTCCCTTGTCTCTCTTCCTTGTCTCTCTCTTGTCTCTCTCTCCCTTGTCTCTCTCTTGTCTCTCTTCCTTGTCTCTCTTCCTTGTCTCTCCCTTGTCTCTCTTCCTTGTCTCTCTCTTGTCTCTCTCTCCCTTGTCTCTCCCTTGTCTCTCTTCCTTGTCTCTCTCTTGTCTCTCTTCCTTGTCTCTCTCTTGTCTCTCTCTCCCTTGTCTCTCTCTTGTCTCTCTCTCCCTTGTCTCTCTCTTGTCTCTCTCTCCCTTGTCTCTCTCTTGTCTCTCTTCCTTGTCTCTCTCTTGTCTCTTTCTCCCTTGTCTCTCTCTTGTCTCTCTTCCTTGTCTCTCTCTTGTCTCTCTCTCCCTTGTCTCTCTCTCTTGTCTCTCTCTCCCTTGTCTCTCTCTTGTCTCTCTCTCCCTTGTCTCTCTCTTGTCTCTCTCTCCCTTGTCTCTCTCTTGTCTCTCTCTCCCTTGTCTCTCTCTCTCTTGTCTCTCTCTCCCTTGTCTCTCTCCCTTGTCTCTCTTCCTTGTCTCTCTCTTGTCTCTCTCTCCCTTGTCTCTCTCTTGTCTCTCTTCCTTGTCTCTCTCTTGTCTCTCCCTTGTCTCTCTCTTGTCTCTCTCTCCCTTGTCTCTCTCTTGTCTCTCTTCCTTGTCTCTCTCTTGTCTCTCTCTCCCTTGTCTCTCTCTTGTCTCTCTCTCCCTTGTCTCTCTCTTGTCTCTCTTCCTTGTCTCTTCCTTGTCTCTTCCTTGTCTCTCTCTTGTCTCTCTTCCTTGTCTCTCTCTTGTCTCTCTCCCTTGTCTCTCTCTTGTCTCTCTCTCCCTTGTCTCTCTCTTGTCTCTCTCTCCCTTGTCTCTCTCTTGTCTCTCTCTTCCTTGTCTCTCTCTTGTCTCTCTCTCCCTTGTCTCTCTCTCCCTTGTCTCTCTCTCCCTTGTCTCTCTCTTGTCTCTCTCTCCCTTGTCTCTCTCTTGTCTCTCTTCCTTGTCTCTCTCTTGTCTCTCTCTCCCTTGTCTCTCTCTTGTCTCTCTCTTGTCTCTCTCTTGTCTCTCTCTCCCTTGTCTCTCTCTCCCTTGTCTCTCTCTCCCTTGTCTCTCTCTCCCTTGTCTCTCTCTCCCTTGTCTCTCTCTCCCTTGTCTCTCTCTTGTCTCTCTCTCCCTTGTCTCTCTCTTGTCTCTCTCTCCCTTGTCTCTCTCTTGTCTCTCTTCCTTGTCTCTCTCTTGTCTCTCTTCCTTGTCTCTCTCTTGTCTCTCTCTCCCTTGTCTCTCTCTTGTCTCTCTTCCTTGTCTCTCTCTTGTCTCTCTCTCCCTTGTCTCTCTCTCCCTTGTCTCTCTCTCCCTTGTCTCTCTCTTGTCTCTCTCTCCCTTGTCTCTCTCTTGTCTCTCTTCCTTGTCTCTCTCTTGTCTCTCTCTCCCTTGTCTCTCTCTTGTCTCTCTTCCTTGTCTCTCTCTTGTCTCTCTCTCCCTTGTCTCTCTCTCCCTTGTCTCTCTCTTGTCTCTCTCCTCTCTCTCCCTTGTCTCTCTCCTCTCCCTTGTCTTTCTCTCCCTTGTCTCTCTCTCCCTTGTCTCTCCCTCTTGTCTCTCTCCTCTCTCTCCCTTGTCTCTCTCTTGTCTCTCTCCTCTCTCTCCTGTCTCTCTCTCCTGTCTCTCTCTCTTGTCTCTCTCCCTTGTCTCTCTCCCTTGTCCCTCCCTTGTCTCTCTACATTGTCTCTCTCTCCCTTGTCTCTCTCTCCCTTGTCTCTCTCTCCCTTGTCTCTCTCTCCCTTGTCTCTCTCTCCCTTGTCTCTCTCTCCCTTGTCTCTCTCTCCCTTGTCTCTCTCTCCCTTGTCTCTGTCCCTTGTCTCTCTCCTCTCTCTCCCTTGTCTCTTTCCCTTGTACCTCCCTTGTCTCTCTCCCTTGTCTCTCTCCTCTCTCTACATTGTCTCTCTCGCGCTCGCACCCAGAGAGTGTGCACAGAGTGACCACCATACATACACTGGGCGTGCCCCTAGGCTGTAGGACCACACAGCAGCAGCAGACTCGCACACAGGGACAGCTGTCACTGGGGGTGTCCCCTAGGCTACAGCACCACACAGCAGCAGCAGACTCGCACACAGGGACAGCTGTCACTGGGGGTGTCCCCCTAGGCTATAGCATCACTCACACACAGGGACAGCTGTCACTGGGGGTGTCCCCCTAGGCTACAGCATCACTCACACACAGGGACAGCTGTCACTGGGGGTGTCCCCCTAGGCTACAGCATCACTCACATACAGGGACAGCTGTCACTGGGGGTGTCCCCCTAGGCTATAGCATCACTCACACACAGGGACAGCTGTCACTGGGGGTGTCCCCCTAGGCTACAGCACCACACAGCAGCAGCAGACTCACACACAGGGACAGCTGTCACTGGGGGTGCCCCTAGGCTGTAGGACCACACAGCAGCAGCAGACTCACACACAGGGACAGCTGTCACTGGGGGTGCCCCTAGGCTACAGCACCACACAGCAGCAGCAGACTCACACACAGGGACAGCTGCCACTGGGGGTGTCCCCTAGGCTAGGCCGCAGCAATCATTGATCACTGCTACTGGCACCGAGGGGGTGCCTGCTGCCACTTGCTAAGGGCTCAAGCCAGCCCAGGCCTCTGTTGCAAATGAGATTCCTGCCCTGGTCTTTTGAGTTATCTCACATGGTCACGCAAACTCCGCTTGAACGCGCTCACTCATCCACCCACTCGCCCACTCACTCATCTACTCGCTCACCCACTCACTCACCCACTCATCCGCTCACTCACTCATCTACTCACTCACTCATCTACTCACTCACCCACTCATCCGCTCACTCACTCATCTACTCACTCACCCACTCGCTCACTCACTCATCTACTCACTCACCCGCTCATCCGCTCACTCACTCACCCGCTCACTCACTCATCTACTCGCTCACCCACTCACTCACCCACTCATCCGCTCACTCACTCATCTACTCACTCACCCGCTCATCCGCTCACTCACTCATCTACTCACTCACCCGCTCATCCGCTCACTCACTCATCTACTCAGTCACCCACTCGCTCACTCACTCATCTACTCACTCACCCGCTCATCCGCTCACTCACTCACCCGCTCACTCACTCATCTACTCACTCATCTACTCACTCACCCACTCATCCGCTCACCCACTCATCTACTCACTCACCCGCTCGTCCACCCACTCATCCGCTCACCCACTCATCCACCCATTAACTCGCTCGCCCACTCATCCACCCGGCTAGCGGCTGCACCACCACCACCGCTTCCCTGCACTCAACCACCTCTCCCCCGTCCCTCCCCACCACCCTCCCCAACCCCTCACAGCCCCTCTCTCTCCTCACCCTCTGCTCCCCCTCTCCTCCCCCCCCCCCGCAGCCCCCCCACTCCCCCCGCCCCCCCCCCCCTAGCCCCCCTCCTGCCGCAGTCTCCTCCCGGCGATCTCGGCGGCCTCCGTCGTGGCGACGGAGTCATCGTCATCGTCATCGTCGTCAGCGTCATCAGCATCATCAGCATCATCAGCGTCATCAGCGTCGGCGGGGACCATGCTGGGCCTGTGGCTGCTGACGGACCGGCGGATCTACTCGGACTACCCGCAGCGCGAGATCGAGCGAGCCCTCGCTCAGCGGTGCCAGCGACATCACGTCGCCTTCCGCCTCGTCTTCATGGACGACCTCGTGCTCACCGTGGAGGACGGGCGGCTCGGTGAGCGGGGGGGGGGTGGGTGGGGGGGAGGGGGGGAGGGGTGGGTGGGGGAGGGACGCGAGGGGGGGGAGGGACGCGAGGGGGGAGGGAGACGCGGAGGAGGGGGAGGGAGAGGCATGGGGAGTGGGAGGGAGAGGCACGGGGGGAGGGAGAGACACGGGGAGGGGGAGGGAGAGACACAGGGAGGGGGGAGGGAGAGACACTGGAGGGGGAGGGGGAGGGAGAGACACGGGGGGGAGAGACACGAGGGGGGGAGGGAGAGACACGGGGGGAGGGAGAGACACGGGGGGGAGAGACACGAGGGGGGGGGGGAGAGACACGAGGGGGGGAGGGAGAGACACGGGGGGAGGGAGAGACACGGGGGGGAGAGACACGAGGGGGGGAGGGAGAGACACGGGGGGAGGGAGAGACACGGGGGGAGGGAGAGACACGAGGGGGGGAGAGACACGAGGGGGGGAGGGAGAGACACGGGGGGAGGGAGAGACACGGGGGGGAGAGACACGAGGGGGGAGGGAGAGACACGGGGAGGGGGAGGGAGAGACATGGGGGGGGGAGGGAGAGACACGGGAGGGGGAGGGAGAGACACGGGGGGGGGAGGGAGAGACACGGGGGGGGAGGGAGAGACACGGGGAGTGGGAGGGAGAGACACGGGGGGAGAGACACGGGGGGGAGGGGAGACGGTGAGGGACGAGACGGAGGGAGATTGAGCACGCTCGTGTGTGACGGGGGTCGGGAGGTGCCCCACATGTCCAGTGGGTGTGTGTAAAGGCACCACAGTGTCTAGGAGATGTTGACTACCTCGCCTGGTACACAGGAGGTCGTGGGTTCAACCCTGACCCTGATGAGATGTTGACTACCTCGCCTGGTACGCAGGAGGTCGTGGGTTCAACCCTGACCCTGACGATGCCTGCTGCTGCTGTATATTTGGAGTCTGCGTCTCTCTCTCATCATCATCATCACGGTGGCTAGGAGATGTTGACTACCTCGCCTGGTACACAGGAGATCGTGGGTTCGATCCCGGATCCTGACAATGCCTGCTGCTGCTGCTGCCGTAGATTTGGAATCTGCGTGTCTCTCTCTCTCGTCATCATCATCACGGTGGCTATGAGATGTTAACTACCTCGCCTGGTACACAGGAGGTCGTGGGTTCAACCCTGACCCTGATGAGATGTTAACTACCTTGCCTGGTACACAGGAGGTCGTGGGTTCAACCCTGACCCTGATGAGATGTTAACTACCTCGCCTGGTACACAGGAGGTCGTGGGTTCAACCCTGACCCTGATGAGATGTTAACTACCTTGCCTGGTACACAGGAGGTCGTGGGTTCAACCCTGACCCTGATGAGATGTTAACTACCTCGCCTGGTACACAGGAGGTCGTGGGTTCAACCATGACCCTGATGAGATGTTAACTATCTCGCCTGGTGCACAGGAGGTCGTGGGTTCGATCCCGACCCTGACGTGGGTAGGGTGGGGGTGGTTGTGTCGTGTGGGAGGGATTGGGTTGTGTGGTTGAGTGGGAGTGGGGTGGGTGACACCGAGTGGAGATGGGATGGACTGCTACAGGAGGACGTGCAGCTGAGTGGACTTGCCGATGAGCGGTACCAGCGGTGTCAAGATCGGCCTCTGTGGAGGAGGCTCGTGAAGGACGCTGCCGGGTTAGTGCCGGGCTAGGTGCACCTTGAGGCTGCTTGGGGGCAGTTGGAGGCAGTCGCCCTACAGCAACAACAGAGGGCCGAGAGGCGACGCTCACAACAACGAGCGGAGCCCCGGGCAGATCAAACGCAGCGAGTTGGCACAGTAGGGGGGGGGGGTACAGGTGGTACATCGAAAAGTCATCTCGGTCAGTCACCCATGGCACCTGCTGGGTCTGTCATGTGACCTCCTCCTCCTGCACCTAGCCTGGCACAGTACAACCGAAGGTGCACCTAGCCTGGCACAGCAGTCAACCCATGGCACCTGCTGGGTCTGTCACGTGAACTGCCAGCGAGTCTTCGACACGTCACGTGGCCTCAAAGTGCACCTAGCCTGGCACAGGCGCGTTGGCGATGCCACCCCCACTTAGTGGTGAGTGGCGGGCGTTGTTGCTTGTGGCTGTGTGTAAGAGTGTGAGTGTATTATTGTGGTCGTGTGTGTGTGTGATAGCGAGTGTAGGTGTGTGTGTGTAAGAGTGTGATAGCGAGTGTGTGATAGCGTGTGTAAGTGTGAGAGTGTGTGATAGCGAGTGTAGGAGTGTGAGTGTAAGAGTGTGTAATAGCGAGTGTAGGAGTGTGTGTAAGTGTGTAAGAGTGTGATAGCGAGTGTAAGAGAGTGTGTGTGTGTGTGTGTAAGAGTGTGTAAGAGTGTGTGTGTGTGTGATAGCGAGTGTGAGTGTGAGTGTAAGAGTGTGTGTGTGTAAGAGTGTAATAGCGAGTGTAAGAGTGTGCGGGTGTGTAAGCTGACCACACAGGGAGGGGGGAAGTGTCCACTTCCCCATGCTTAGCAGTGCCCTCCCATTGCCAGCCTCCACCACTCCCCCTCTCCACCACCACATCCACTCTCTCCTCCACCACCTCCACCACCTCCACCACCTCCACCACATCCACTCTCTCCTCCACCACCACCACATCCACTCTCTCCTCCTCCACCCCCCCTCCACCACATCCACCACCTCCACTCTCTCCTCCACCACCACCTCCACCACCTCCACCTACTCCCCCTCTCCTCCACTCTCTCCTCCTCCTCCACCCCCCCCTCCACCACATCCACCACCTCCACTCTCTCCTCCACCACCACCTCCACCACCTCCACCTACTCCCCCTCTCCTCCACTCTCTCCTCCTCCTCCACCCCCCCTCCACCACATCCACCTCCTCCACTCTCTCCTCCTCCTCCACCACATCCACCACCTCCACCACCTCCACTCTCTCCTCCACCACCACCTCCACCACCACATCCACCACCTCCACATACTCCCCCTCTCCTCCACATCCACTCTCTCCTCCTCCACCCCTCCACCACCACATCCACCACCTCCACTCTCTCCTCCACCTCCACTCTCTCCTCCACCCCCTCTCCACCACATCCACCACCTCCACCACCTCCACCACCTCCACTCTCTCCTCCACCTCCACTCTCTCCTCCTCCACCCCCCTTCCACCACATCCACCACCTCCACCACCTCCACTCTCTCCTCCACCACCTCCACTCTCTCCTCCACAACCACCTCCACTCTCTCCTCCACCTCCTCCACCACCTCCACCACCTCCACTCTCTCCTCCACAACCACCTCCACTCTCTCCTCCACCACCACATGCACCACCTCCACTCTCTCCACCACCAGCTTGTGGAGTGACGTCACCTGCTCGTGGTTATTGGGGAGGGGTGCAGCTTGTGGAGTGACGTCACCTGCTCGTGGTTATTGGGGAGGGGTGCAGCTTGTTGAGTGACATCACCTGCTCGTGGTTATTGGGGAAGGGGTGCAGCTTGTTGAGTGACGTCACCTGCTCGTGGTTATTGGGGAGGGGTGCAGCTTGTTGAGTGACGTCACCTGCTCGTGGTTATTGGGGAGGGGTGCAGCATGTGGAGTGACGTCACCTGCTCGTGGTTATTGGGGAGGGGTGCAGCATGTGGAGTGACGTCACCTGCTCGTGGTTATTGGGGAGGGGTGCAGCTTGTTGAGTGACATCACCTGCTCGTGGTTATTGGGGAAGGGGTGCAGCTTGTGGAGTGACGTCACCTGCTTGTGGTTATTGGGGAGGGGTGCAGCATGTGGAGCGACCTGACCACAAACGAAACTATAACTAATTTAATGTTTTTTTATTTGAAGCTTTCGTGACTGCAGGGATTCATATTCTTGGTTCGTTCGGTAAAGTCACCACACTTAGAAGGGAAACAATAAAATAATATTGTTTCCCTTCTACAATAAAATAATGTTGTTTCCCTTCTACAATAACATAATGTTGTTTCCCTTCTACAATAAAATAATGTTGTTTCCCTTCTACAGTAATATAATATTGTTTCCCTTCTACAATAACATAATATTGTTTCCCTTCTACAATAATATAATGTTGTTTCCCTTCTACAATAAAATAATATTGTTTCCCTTCTACAATAACATAATGTTGTTTCCCTTCTACAATAAAATAATATTGTTTCCCTTCTACAATAAAATAATATTGTTTCCCTTCTACAATAACATAATGTGGTTTCCCTTCTACAATAAAATAATGTTGTTTCCCTTCTACAATAATATAATATTGTTTCCCTTCTACAATAATATAATATTGTTTCCCTTCTACAATAAAATAATATTGTTTCCCTTCTACAATAAAATAATATTGTTTCCCTTCTACAATAAAATAATATTGTTTCCCTTCTACAATAAAATAATATTGTTTCCCTTCTACAATAAAATAATATTGTTTCCCTTCTACAATAAAATAATATTGTTTCCCTTCTACAATAAAATAATATTGTTTCCTTTCTACAATAAAATAATATTGTTTCCCTTCTACAGTAATATAATATTGTTTCCCTTCTACAATAAAATAATGTTGTTTCCCTTCTACAATAAAATAATGTTGTTTCCCTTCTACAATAAAATAATATTGGTTCCCTTCTACAATAAAATATTATTGTTTCCCTTCTACAATAAAATAATATTGTTTCCCTTCTACAATAAAATCATATTGTTTCCCTTCTACAATAAAATAATATTGTTTCCCTTCTACAATAAAATAATGTTGTTTCCCTTCTACAATAAAATAATGTTGTTTCCCTTCTACAATAAAATAATATTGTTTCCCTTCTACAATAAAATAATATTGTTTCCCTTCTACAATAAAATAATATTGTTTCCCTTCTACAATAAAATAATATTGTTTCCCTTCTACAATAAAATAATATTGCTTCCCTTCTACAATAAAATAATATTGCTTCCCTTCTACAATAAAATAATATTGTTTCCCTTCTACAATAAAATATTATTGTTTCCCTTCTAAAATAATGTATTATTGCTTCC